GGGTCAGAAAGTGGGGAGTGGGTTGAGAGCAATAGGAGTCTGGCTTTCATGTCCCTTCTCCTTCCCTCCCAGGTTACATGGCATTTTCTTCTCCTGAACTCCAAGCCCAGATTGAGGCCAAGGGCTTGGCTCCGCTACACTGGGCAGATGATGATGGAAACCCCACAGAACAGTACCCGCTAAATCCCAATGGGTCACCAGGGGGCGTGGCTGGTGTCTGCTCCCATGATGGTCGCCACCTGGCTCTCATGCCTCACCCTGAGCGGGCCGTGAGGCCTTGGCAGTGGGCTTGGCGGCCCCCACCATTTGACACTCTGACCACCTCACCCTGGCTGCAGCTCTTCATCAATGCCCGAAACTGGATCCGGGAAGGAGGCTGCTGAGGGGGCCAGGGAGGCTCACCTGGCCTATAGTTTGTCTGAATGTCTGCCACCCTCTCCCCAATCATCTTCAGGAGCACCCAATATTATTTCCAGAAGTATCTTGGAACTTTTAAAGAGCAAAATGCCACAGAAAACAGACAAACAGAAACTCAGATGATTCGGTCACCTGCCCGCTTTTGCCTCATGTTGCTGGGTCTGTGTACCCTTCTGCTCTAACATGGACTGCCTTTCTCCAGGCCCAGAAAGCAGCATGTGCTTCAGAGACAAGAGCCCACAGTAGAAAGGTAGGGTGCAGGCTGTGGAGAGGGGGTTCCATTGACCAACCTCATTTAGTGACCACTTATCCTCATTTCCCTTATCTGGGCTCTCAGGGATGTTGTAGGCCTCTCTTCTCATCACTGAGGTTTAGGGGATGGGTGGGACACATGAAAGCACGCAGGTCAGCCCTTTCCTCCTCACTGTTCTCATCTGAGGAATAGCAGGAGCTTTCTGGATTCCATTAAATGCTGTGTTGTGCTAAATGTAAGGAGTTCCTGCTTGCAGGAGTTTCCTTGGCTGTCTCTGGGCTGGCCTGGTGCTGGCCTCTGAACTCAGTATTCCTGATTATTTGCTTCTAATTTAGCAGCTCCCTTTCTGACAGAAGTGGTTAGCACCGTCATCCCTAGAGTAACCCTTAATATATTGGAGTACTACTTCTTCCTTCATTCCATTGATGTTCCTTGACTAGCTATTTGAGTACTATTACTGCCCCAGGAAGTTGATGGTGTAATAGAATCTAAACTAGCTATAGGTAGCATTTACCTCTAGCTAAGCAGGTGCTAGGCATTTTATATGTATCAAAATTAATTAATTCTTGGGACTAGCAGTTGGCATAATGACTATGTCACAGGACTCCCATGTAGTCGACCGCTGTTCGAGTCCCAGACCTGGTGGCTTAAACTCACGCTGGGTACGTGTGTGTGCATGCCCAAGATCCCAAGAGGAGAACTAAGGAGAAGGGATAGGGTCACACAGCTTGTGAGGGACAGCTTTGAGGACATTGTTGTCATACTTGGGACACCTGCCTTCCACTGTCCTTTAGTCACATAACCAAGAAGCAGTGTTACCGAGATTTCTTGCTGACAGTTGTCTTGAGTCATCCATTGTTTTTTCTCCTTCATATCCTCTCATGGATGTGTGTAGAGGTCACTTCCTTAAGACTCCTTTTGTACAACTTATTTGGCTCCCTGAAAATGTCCAGCGTCTTTATTAAAAGAGTTTGCCTGAAAATGGAGACTCGAATCTCAAATTCCTGAGGGCTTCAGGGTCTGGAGTAGGAGGAGGGAGGCCAAAAACTTGTGCTTTTAAACAGGGAATGGTGATTCTAAGAAATTGATAATGAGGCAATATTGGCTGTGATTATGGAGAAAAATGTCCAGATCGTTTTCTCATTGCCTTTCAGAGTGACCTGCCTTGAGGAGTGTGGGACTAGTAAGGATCTTTTTTGGTTGTTTAATTCATGCTAAAATGTATGTATACACATGTGAGAGAGAAGCAACTCCCCCACAGGGTCTGGGGAGTGGCCACTCCACCATACCCTTCTTGCTTCCCTCCATCCCATTGGATCATCGGTACTCAATGTGCCTGGCAAGGTTGACTGGGCCAGGGCTTCAAACCACAGTGCCATGGAGCCAGCCCATAGCAAGGATCGTATTTGGTATTTGAGCATGACATTCCCTCCTGATGCTAGGAAGATTTATACACACCCCCACACATATATGGCCAGCAGCTGGTGTGGTTAAGGTGCTGGATCCCACATGGTCAACTCGCAGTTCTAGTTCTGGACCTGGTGGCTTGAAAAACACACAAGGCATGCATGTGTATGCGTGCCTAAAATCCTGAGGCGGGATTGTGGTGTGGCCACTCCTCCACCCCAGGGGGTAGTTTCTCCCTTCTTTGCATCTCGCTTGTGAGTGCATATACCCTATGGCAAAAAATCTAAAATAAATGTGTGTCTACTTTTTTTATATCTGTACACATACAAATAATATAAACACAAAACTAGTTCTCTCCCCCCCCCCTTAAATCTCAAGAATACACTTTTAGACTGATGTCAGGGCTTAGGTGTCAGGTTTACTAAGTGGCTGATACAAAAGGAAGAAGTAATCTGCTGGTTATCTATGACAGGTGAACTCGTACATTTTTGGAGGTGGGGCAGTTTCTGGTTTGATCACTCTGGTCAAGCAAGACCCGCCCTTAGACCCTACCAAAACCAAGTCCACTCTGCATCTCATCCCTGTTTTTATTCAGTAGCCACATCACCCTGTCCTAGCTGGCCCCTGACCCACCTATCTTCCTTGCCATCCCTCCCCAGGGCTCTAGCAGCCCTCAGGCCAGCTCGCAGAGCCTCCTTATAGAATAGCAGCTATCTGAAAACCACTTCTGCAGCCCCTCTGAGCAGTGGCTTTATTCTTTTTTTTGAGAGGTTTTTGCTATAGGGCGCCAGCGCTCGCCAGACAGACAGAGACAGAGAGATAGAAAGCGAGAAATCACCCCCCCCAGGGGGGTTGGCCACGCCGCGATCCCTTCTCCTCCATTCTCCTCTTGGGATCCTGGGCACACACACACAGGCGCCTGGCGTGAGTTTAAGCCACCAATGCGAACCGCGGTCGACTACGTGGGAGTCCAGCGACATAGCCATTACGCTAACTGCTGGTCCCAACAGTGGCTTTATTCTCAAGTCTCATCTGCCTCACTTCCTCAAGCTGGGGAGTTGGAGTCCTCCCTGGGCCACTTCCAAACTGTTCTTCACCCCCTTCAAAGAAAAGTGTGCCTGTTTTAGGCCCATGCAATTCTACTATATCACCCTCACCCCCTTTGTCTTCTGTTAAGTTCCTGCTGTTCCTGACTCTCAGTCTTGTTCACTTAGCTTCCTTCTGTCGTCCTGGATCCATGCCAGCGACCGACACCCTGGACTTTTCTCCAATGATTTCCATTTCACCTCAGCCAACCACTTCACCTTGGATTTTGTCATCATCCAGATCTGCTCCACTCTCATTTCTTCAGGCATCATACCTCTACCTCTGACCATAACCTTCAATTTTTTAAAAGAGTTATTTATTTAATTTTCTTTATTACTATTTTAAATTTTCTGTAGGTCACTCACCAGAGAGAGACAGAAAGAGAGAAAGTGAGAAAGCAAGCTGTCAAGTCCTGGACTCAAACCGTAGGCAGCCACGTGGGAGTCCAGCACCTTACCTACCATGCTACCTGCTGTCCCCTTACCTTCTCTCTTGCTTCTTTACTTGCAGTACTGAGATTTCAGTCATCAGGACTTCGGTACAATAATTACTTCTCCCCCAATCCCTCTCTCCTTTCTCCCCTCCTTGTCCAACTTCCGATGCCTTTCCAATGCCCTTTAAGTTGACCTAATGTCTTTATCATACCCATTTGGCAAAATCCCAACCCATTAGCTTCTCTGAGTAAAGAGAACAGATCAGATCTCAGATCTACCATTTCTCACCTGAGGGGGAAACAATGAGAACGAGAGATAGAAAGTAGTAAGAGAACGCTCAAGGGGACCTTCGATGATAATGTACCGCAAACTGAGGGGTATGACTACCTGAGTTTTGCATACCTAAGGTCTGAAAACAAAACCTCTGAGCTAACAGTGGCACAACAGTAAAATGCTGTGTTCTAGGCTAACTCATGGGAAGGTTCACACCCATAGACCTCCCTGAGTATCCTGGACACACATGCTCATGAGTTGAGGCTGTGTGTGGATCACAGCATTGGGACTCTGTTGTCTTTCAAATAAATGATACACACACACACACACACACACACACACACACACACCGCTAGAGAGCACGTGCGCTCACCAGAGAGAGGAGAAAGCTTTCCCCATGGCAGATGGTCATGCCACAATCCCTCCTCTGTCTTTCCTTTTTGGAATTTTGGGCACATGTGCACATGCGCCGTGTGTTTCCAAACTACCAGGTCTGAGACATGAATTGTGTGGTTGGCCATGTGGGATCTGCCTGTCTTAAGTCCCACAGAATCCCAGACCCCGTGGCTTGAAACTCATATTGGACGCATGTGTTTGTGTGCCCAAAATCCCGAGAGGAGAATGGAAGAGAGAATTGCAGTGTGGTCATTCTCCTGGGGGTAATTTCTCACTTTCTCTATGTCTCCTATAGCAAAAAAATAGTCTCTAAAAAAGGGACCCAGTAGGTGGCACGGTGGTAAGACTGGTAGACTCCCACACAGCTTATCACAGTTTGAGCCCTGGCTTGGGCACCTTGCTTTCTCTCTTTCTCTGTCCCTTCCTGGTCAAATTAAATAAAGAAAGCTAAATAAAGTCTTTTTTTTTTTTGGAGAGATTTTCACTGTAGGGCGCGTGTGCTTGCCAGACAGACAGAGAGAGACATAGAGACAGAAAGCGAGAAATCACCCCCCAGGGGGGATGGTCACGCCGCAATCCCTTCTCCTCCATTCTCCTCTCGGGATTTTGGGCATGCACGCACACGCGCCCGGCGTGAGTTTTTAGCCACCGGGTCCGGGACACGAACCGCGATCGACTACGTGGGAGTCCAGCGACATAGCCATTACGCTAACTGCTGGTTCCCATAAAGTCATTTTTTAAAAAAGATTATTTTTAAAGAGGTTTTTGCCATAAGATGCATGTGCTCGCCAGCCAGACAGAAAGTGAGAAATCACCCCCCAGTGGGGATGGCCATGCCTCAATCCCTTCTCCTCCATTCTCTCAGGATCTTGGGCATGCACGCACACGCGCCCAGTGTGTTTTAAGCCACTGGGTCTGGGACGTGAACCACGGTCGACTACATGGGGAGTCCAGCAACATAGCCATTACGCTAACTGCTGGTCCCCTAAAAAAGGATTTTTTTTTTGAGAGGTTTTTGCTATAGGGCGTGTGCGCTCACCAAACAGACAGAGACAGAGAGATAAAAAGCGAGAAATCACCCCCCAGGGGGATGGCCACGCTGCAGTTCCTTCTCCCCCATTCTCCTCTCGGGATCTTGGGCACGCACGCACACACCGTGGTCGACTATGTGGGAGTCCAGCGACATAGCCATTACGCTAACTGATGGTCCCCTAAAGAGAGATTTTTTTTAAGAATTATTTTTTATTTAACTTTATTTATTTATTTAGTTAGTTATTTAAATTTAACCAGAGAGACAGAGAGAGAGAGAGAGAAAGCAAGTCACCATGTCTGGGACTCGAACTGTGGTTGACAATGTGGGAGTCCAGCACCCTTAACCACCACGCCACTTGCCAGCCTCATCACACAGAGGTTTTTGTGTGAACATGTTTTCACTTCACTTGGGTCAATAACTAGTTGGTTTTGCTGGGTTGTATGGTAAGTGTATGTTTAACTTTTTAAGAACCTGCTAATGTCCTTTCCAAAGTGACAGTATCACTTTTCATTGCCACTAACAGTGTATGAGATACCCAGTTGCACCAGATCCTCTTTGGCATTTGATATTATCCTTTTAGCCATTCTAGTAGTTGTATAGAGAGTTATAGCATGGTATCAGGTTGTGATGATTTTTCTTCCTTTATTCATGATAAAGTGTGTGTGCGCAATGAGAAAGAGAGACATGAGCACCCTCCATGAGGTCTGGTCACACCATGTTCCCCAGAGACAAAGGAAGCCTCCAGGTCTGGGACTCGAACCATGGATAGCTAGCAGTTGACCACGGGAGTCCCAGGGAACAGCTGGTCAAATTTCCCTAGCTCCGGCTGAGTATTCAAGACCCTTTGAGAGAACCAAAGAAAACCGTTACTGGACACTTGGGGGCAGCAAACGGCCACATGGTGGAGACCCGGGGAATGCCCAGGGTTTGGTGTCTAGTCTCTGGCTTCAGGAAACCTTTCCATTTAAACAGCCTTTTGGAATGCCTGCAGCATTGGGCCATCCTCAGGCAGGAAGGAGTTCCTGGATCTCCATCTGCCTCTCAGGCTAGAGGAGAGGGCTGCAGCTATGGAATGGAACAAAGCGCTATGAACAGTCCCAGCAGGTCTGTCAGGTAACAAGATTGCCAAAGGCTCCCTGATGTCAATCAAGTACTTTTTTGGGGAAGCACACGGTACTGTGGGAGATGAGAGCAGATGTGACCCAAACTTTTTGGGAACAGAGAAGGACTCCTAGAGTGACCTGAGACCTGAAGGATGATACACGGAGGATGGTGGCTTTCAAGGAAGGTCAGTACTGTATTTACAAAGCCTCGGGGGCAAGAGCCATGGTGAGCTGAGGAACTGAACAAAGATGAGTCATCTCTCTTGAATATTAAGTACAAATGGAAAACAGGACAGGCAAAGTCAAAGACCCCCCAAAAAACATATTAAGGAACCTGGACTTTATCCTAAGAGCAATAGGGAACCATCTGAGGAGACTTACATACAGGATACACACGAACGGATCGGTGTTTTTGAGAGATCATGCTAGCCACAGGAAGGCAGACAGGATGTGGGCAGACCAATGAGAAGGGTGTGTCGTTTCCAGGCAGAACTACTGCTGGACTAGAATGGTGGCAGTGGAGAAAGGAATGGAAGGATTCGAGACACAAAGAGGTACATTCACCAGGAAGTGGATGTGGGGAAGAAGTCTCCTGGCGAATCAGGAACCTTCCCATGTGGGAAGGGACAGATGTTAGCACTACACCAACTCCCTATTTCTGTCATTGGTGTCTCTGATCTTGGCCAGCCCTCTATCTTTCAACTGGCTCTTCATGTTTTTCTCTACGCCTTATGGACCACCCATATAATTGTTCCCTTGTTTATTCCTTGTTCTGGCGT